AATATAGCCTTTTAAACTTTTGCAACCAGCTGCTTTTCATATTAGTGACCAATAACAGTAATAACAGCTTTTTGACAAGTTTAAAGTTTCTATAAAATACATTCAAAATGTTAAAAAATAAACTACAAAAATTAATTTAAAGTGCAAATTAAAATAGTTGTATCTGCAACTGTATTTGATAATGTTTTGAATTTTTAAATTATTACATGGTTAAAAACAGAAGCTGCACTTCATATTAGTGACCAACTTTGGTGTTTTTTGATGGGTTACTTTCATTTTTGCTTCTATTTTTAATTTAAAATAGGTTTCCATTCTCGGCAGGTTTCTAAGGTTCTTCTACATATTAAAAAAGTTGTTAAACATCTGAGTGGCACACTACCGCTACTAGTGGTGAGAAAGTGTATTGCGCCTTATTCTGAGTCGATGCGGTCCCACGGCCCTCTGCGACCCAAAGTTAAAATCTGTTGTTCTTTTGAGGCCCTCAAGGTGGCGCTCACGGCCCACAGGTTAAGAATCTCTGGTTTAGAGAACCTTTTCATGATATGCTGAGTTTTTGAGATAGGGATTTTTTTACTTTTTTGCCAAAATCATCAATTTTAAAATAAAAGGCTTGAACTACTTCAGTTGGTGTGCAATGAATCTAAAATATATGAAAGTTTAATGTTTATCAGTACATTACAGAACATAATGAAAAATATGCTTTTTTTAGAAGGACCTGTAATTCTGAACGTTTGCAACCAGCAAACTGTGGCATATTTGTGAGAACCGAATGAATAACTGACTGTTGCCCGCCTTCATCCACCTCTTCAGTCATGTGCACATGTATGGTTTAACCTGACAGGGTTTGTAGCTGCTGTAACAGCRGCTGAACACTAGATGTCACTGCTGAGGCCTGACTGAGGCTTTAGATTTTAAAATCAGAAGCTTCGTCTGTCCAGCTGAGGATAACTCACCTCCCACTACTCCAATGAAGAAGTACAGCTGCTCCACCGTGTTACAAAAAGAGGCTGCAATCAGCCCTGAACCTGCCAGACAACCACCGAGGATGATGATCGGTCGACTGCCGAATTTGTTTACCAGGATGCTGCTGATTGGACCTGAGGGTGAAATAAAGAAAGCATTAGAGTGCTGAAGGACAACCATTCTGAAAGGAACACACAAGTTACCTGACGTTAGGGTTAAACTCGTCCACATAACATGATCCAGAGCTGACAAGCTCACAAAAGAGCTCAAGTCAAAGGTAGAAATTAATCATTGGTCTTTTCCTGTGTTCTATGTAGAAATGAGAAAACTGTGTTCCTTATGTTCYATTTAAACATGTCACCTTGSTTAAAACACCTGCCACTGATTTCTCTTTTGTGAGGCTAATACACTGACATAACACTAAAGCACAGGTCTTGAWGCCAGCAGGACCCAGTTCTACAGAAGCTGCCATGTTGTAAACTAACCAGAGTCTGAGCATCAGGGTTTTACACAATCATGGCCTCACAAATAACTAAGCATGAAAAATGTGCATTCACACAAATATTAAATGTAAATTAAGTCAACAGCTGATTTTTWAATTTTGTTTTTAAAAGGGTAAAGTCCTGTTTTTTTATGTTTGCTTGCTGGACTGAACTGTCCTGGTCCCACTTCTGGCTTCAACATACAGAAACCCTCATGGAGGTCCAGTTTTGTGTCAACGGGTTTAAACCCATCGGTGTCATTTTTATATACATTTTAGATAAATTACAACTTTTTTCACCCCCATTAACTTTTAAAGAACTCCAACAGCTCAATATGTCTGCTGCTGAGAACTGCTGAGTCATTGTGCTCTTTTAGATGTCTTTACCTTTAAACCAGAAAGACAAGCACAATGAATTAAGTTCCTCATTTTAAAACGTGTAATATAACTCAGGTCTGTTCAATCAAATYTGAGGCTGAACCTCCTGACTTTAGTTAACTTGTTTATAAAAACATGGAGCTGAAATTACAGCCGACCGTCAAGAAAGACGGTGTTTTAAGGTAACTGTACTCTGATTTACAGCCTGAAGACACTTCAGTAGGAGAACTTTTTAATTTTTATCCACCCACTTTATGTTGACAGGGGAAATAAATTACGCAACATCAGTTGCATGGTGCTGAATTGAGAAAGAAAGGAGAAAAAAACAGRGAAGAGAGAAAGGAATGAAAGGGCAGAAAGAAAAGGAAGATCTACATGTATCCACTTCTGTGCCAAGCTGAGAATGAAAGAGCCTTCAGATGAATCCAGGTCGACGCGGGTTCTGCTAGATGTGGGAACAAAGAGTTCTGCAGAACACAAACAGCTCTGTGTGCAGTCACGCCGACATAAAGAGCCGAGCACAGAGGCAGGAAGGAAAAGTTAACTTAGACGAGCTGGAAAACTTCATGGAAATTGTCGGTCAAAATAAAAACAGTTAATTAAAAAAGATGTTGCTATTCAACTTTCATTGATGTTACAAGTCTATTTTTGCCAGATGTAATGATTATGACTTATCTAGGGCTGTACCGATAAGTTGAAATAATTGACGTCGATTATGTTAATTTGTCGCAGATTTTTTAATTATCGATTCGCTGAATTACATAACCACCACGTGAATGTTCATGCAATTCCATTTCAGTACCTAAATGCATCATT